TGAGAAAAAGCGTATCAGAGCTTTTTCTCTATTGCCAGCAATGGGATGGGTGCGGTTTCATGGTGATGTGTCCGGCCTGTGGGCCGGCAGTTTGACACCCCAGCTAACTGGGAACGCTATTTTAGCATTGTTCTCTAAATTATCACAGTAATTTAAAATTCTATATCTACTAATTCTAGATCAGGGGTTCTCAAACTCGCAATGTCATGTGATGTGCCATGACATATTGCAACTTTTTTTCCATTGCTGGCAATGGGGTAGGCGCGGTTTCGGCATGACGCATCCAGCCCACGGGCTGGCAGTTTGACACCCCTGCTCTAGATTATTAACTATACCATCTGGTTTAGTATTATTTTAGAGTTTTTAGTGGTGCCACATCATCCCTTCGTGACTGCCCATATAGTGTCTATTTCTCCTCCTCCTCCTCTCTAGTTAATTACTTGCTTGTAGTGTTATAACCTGCATTTGGATTGCCTTTCCTTCTTTTAAGGCCAAAAAGGACTAGACTCTGTGGATGGTGCTATTCAGGCATGAAGTATGCATACAGCACTTAAATGTTAGGCTGTGCTGCTAGTTCTCTACCTATTGCAACCTCAAGATTGACTCTTTCCCAGCTATCACCCATTGAATGTAGATACCTGTAAAAGAGTATCTGTAGCTCAGGACCGAATTGTGGAGACCTTAATGCTCTCTGAGCTTGGCTGTTTGCTTGCAGAATGTTTCATTACCCAACTAGGTAATATCATCAGTGATGTTTGCTCCTCTTTTTATATACTGAGGCTTACTTTGACAGTATTGATGAGGGAGTAGTTTTCTATTTGGTAGTTCTGACAGAAGAGAATATTTGTAGCTCAGTTTTGAACTGTGGGGTCCCCAGTAGTTACTTGATTAGGGTAATATTCTTGCTTGCTTGGGATTAATTCCTGAAATTGATTGCTAAAGAGGATGTGTCATAGTCTTTTTGTTTCCCTCTTAGCTTTTCTATCATCTCTTTTGAATGGTCTATAAATGTGGTTCACCTCTATACGTCTACTGATGGCTGATATGTCTGCATGCTAAGCCTCCAGGAATTCCCTAGTGGTTTTGGATTTGGCTTGGTCTAGGATGCTCAGTTTCCCAGTTGAAACTACGGTTGAGTCTGTCCATGCGTTGTGAGCATATAGACCACATTGAATGTAAATGTTTGAAAGCAAACGTCAATACGGGGATCACTTATTTACTTATATTCAGCCACATGGTCATCCTCACTACACGGACTTCCCTAGTGCTCTCCTTTTTGGAATGTGTATCTTGGCAGACATCCATATTCTGAATCCCTGGGAATTTTGCATTGCATTACCTAGTAATGTCAACATTTATTTTGTTTGTCAAGAACAAATATGGCTACCATAGTATACTTTTTAAAAATTCATTTTATTCATCCTATGTATACATTTTGTTTTTGTCCATAGGAAAGCAATGCAGCACAATGTGGTCAACAAAGGAAAATCACTGAAACATTATTTACCCCTTTCTTTTCTGACCCAAAAGTAAAAGTAAAATAATTAAAAAATAAGAAAGCAACATAACAAAAGTGCTTGCAAATATTATTGAATTTCATAAAGATTAATGGGATCCTTACAAAAGTATATGTATATATTACAAGAACTGCTTAATCATTCGGTGGTCCTCTTGTTGGAAAAAAAAAGAAGTAATCCACCTCACACTAAAAATTAGTAACTATTGTAACCTCCTTATATGTCATTCATTTTCTTTTCTTTTGAACCATTGATAGACATCATAATACTACTTAGTACAAAGGAATGTATAGGATTTTTAAAATATATTTTTGTATAAATACTCAGTCACCTCATTACTGAAAAATAGCAGATGGAATTAAGCACCATATTTCTGTCTAAATGCTTATAGTGCAAGTTTCCCTTTTCCCTACAGAACATTTTAAAAAATGAGTGATATTGTAACAAAATCAGTACTCCTTTATACTACACAGTATTTTCATAACATGTACTGTGAAAGGTATTTTTGGCATTTTTCCTTAAATTTTTTTTACACCTTTTAATATTTATTTAAATCTGTACTGTAATGTATATCGACATTTTGATCTGCCTGAATTTATTCACTTCTGAAAGCTATTAGTTGTGAATGCTTGTAGGAAACATTTGTTTTCATTATTCGTTAAAGATATTCATATATGCTTCTCGTCAGGAATCATCCCACAATAATTGTAAAGCAGATTAAAAAACAGTAGTTTGCCTTAATCGATAGAACCAAGGAACAGCTTATGCTCCACAGTGAAAGTGAGAACATTGAGGAGAAATCATATTGATGGCCAACATTATCTTACTGATCCACAGCAAGAATAAATGTATAAAAGATGGGTAGTTTGTGGTCTGGTGTCGGCCGGAAGCAAACAGATCCACTCATGAAAAGTTCAGCTATTTTATTGCATTCTACCTATAATACAAGAATCTCCCCAGACTGCTTGCCTTCCCTTGGGAACCAATAGATAAGATTCCATGAACTTGGAAGAAATGTTTGTGGCTGAGCAAGGACTCAAGGCTAGTTCTAAGCTTGACCTCTCCTCTCTGCCTGGCTGGGAGTTTCCTAACATCTGGGCAAATTTGTAAAGATCATGTTACCTGTTCAGTCAAAATAATAATTCTGATCTAGCAGTTAGGTAAATAATGAGACGTAAACACCTGGAGATATATAATTCTTTGTGGAGAACCTCGTTTGTACTTTGTATTCTCAAACTGGTCACAAGCTATTTAACCTGGCACACCGACCCAGAGCAAAAGTGCATTTAATATTTGGATATGCAATGTTATATTAATCAATTCTTTTGATATTGATACTATGTTGAATTAGATTTCAGTGACCAACTTTTTTGACCTCAGAGAATGAGTTCAACAGAAATTATTGTGAAGGGGCAGATATCTTAGGGAGATTTTTCTAAATCTGCCCAGTAGTTAATAAGCAAATGGCTTAGATATGTTTTTTTAAAAAAATAAAACAATAGCTCATCTACATGAGGTGACTTGCAAATGCACAGCGAACATGGTGGTGTAATTTTATTTTTTGAGCTGCTTATGTTGGAAAAGGTAACCAACTTTATTAAGCTTATAACTTACTGATTTTAAGGTGTTACTGATATTAGGGGTATCCAGTTTGACACAAGAGAAATAGCTTTGCTCCAAGAGTAAATAACTATTAAGTTCTGAAATCTTATTATGCTATAATTAAAACAGCTAAAATTAATAAAATAAGGTGTGCGTGCTTATCAATCTTGCAGATTAAAAGTTATTTTGAAAAAATGAATAGGGAAATTAGACATAATATTTCTTCTTCATGTGGTATATTTGGCAGAAAAAACAGAGCCTTCTGGTATTACTGACTTCTCAATAACAGAAAATGAATATTCTGATTTTTATGAATTATTTTTGGAGCAACTGCAATAACTTTACACACAAAAATAACTCTGCTCTGCATCGCTCTAGAGTAGAAATGCTTTAAATATTGTGATCTGATCCATATGTATTTGTTTTTTACAAAATAAGAATGCAGCATGTATAGCAGATTCACCTAATTCCTGATAGAAATATATGCTGTGATATAGCATATATAGAAATTCCAAAATTTAAACAATGTAGATGTGGATTAGTGTATATTATTTTGTCCTTGTTATTAATGATCCTGCAATTTTGTCTGAACAATTTTCTTAATAGAAAAGGGATTGTTTTGTGCTACTGCTGAAGTATAGGACTAATTGAGGCAAAATATTTTTGTGTTCCATTCTGTTTGATTGAAAATAAGTATATTCTTCTTTGGCAAAATTCTTGGAGCTGGGGTTCAAATATGTCTAGATTCCACATTTTGAAATCTCTCTTTAAAACCATGTTTAAAAACATGGTTTCCTGATAATATGAAATTTTAGGGGAAAAATTCAAATGTCTAATTTTTAGATATTTTTTTCCTCTGTATTTATTTAGTTTCCATATTTTAATTTTTGATTTTGGAGACCACTGATCCAGATTGATAGTAACTGTTGCTCGTGGCTATATGTTGCCAGTATGATACAGCATACACAAATCCAATCACTGAAAATAATTTCTCTGAAAAAGGAACTGCTCATAAATTTCTAAATAATATTAGGCCTTCATCCAATATAGGTAAAAACTTTGTCTGCCTTAAACTAATATTTGAACAAATTTTCATTTTATACAAATTTAATTACTCATTCTCCATTGCCACAAGACATGGCAAAGAATTAGCTTTTAAAGCCTACAGGTTATTAATAAATATTATCATATTAGCACCAAACCAGTGACTTTTATAGCATTAGTCAATGGATATTACCTGCCATTAAAAATATGTAAGATACAGTTATTGATAAAGCAAAAATACTATCATGCATGATCACCAATTTCTTGCAACGTATTGATTGCTATATAAATTTAATAACAATAATTATTTTCCTCATAAGGAATAGTTGGTTTTAAAATGCCAAAAATACCTTAATGGTAACCAGTTAGCACCTTACAAATATCAGTGCAGCCTGTAACAAGAAGAGAAATTACTGAATGAAGGTAAACAACTGAATACAGTGACAATAAACATATCACTTTTGTCAAAATGCTACATATGATGTAGAATATGTAAAAATGCAGTGGTGTGACTGCAAGGTTTAATTTTTTTTAAAAAAAGAACACAGGATAAGCAGCTTTAATATAAAATTTTACATACAAAAATATTAAATCAAAATAAATAATTCCGGACATAAATATAATACATTAGAACTTCAAGAATATACTGTACACACATACACACACATACACAGATACAATCATACTTTTTAAAAAGGCACATTACATACATTTCTCTCTCTCTCTCTCTCACACACACACATACACATGCACACACACACACACACTCACAAACATAAAAATAAAAAAAATGGAAGGCAGAGGTATTGCTTAATTGTCCTTCATCCATCTTGCTTAAGCTCCCGGCATTAAGAAATCCTGGAAATTAAAAAAAAGATAAAGAGATCTCATTTCTACTTTTTAGATAACTGAGGTGTTTGTGTGTATTTGATCTTTTATGGGGACAAACTCATATGCACAGAAGCACCATAACTCTACACTGTACAGTTGTTTTTTTTTTACATCTGGGTAACAGCTTCCAGCACTAGGTCCTTATACTACTAAATTATCTTTATGTCATTCCACGTAGGCTTTATATGCAGATAATTGAATTATGCATAAATTCAACACATGCAGACTCAGCAATTCCTCAATGTTTTTGGAACCACCAAGTTTGTGAGAATCACTTCCCAAAGGGTCAAGTGTCCTAGCCATGGCTGACATACAAAAAGTCAGCCTTAAAAAATAAAACCAAAACCTGGTATACTTTCCTTAAAGCAAACAAAGAATCAACAAACTACTATTTTATATGGAGCTGATTAGATGCCTTGAGTGGTCATCTTAAAAGAAAGTGAATGAAGGAATGAGTGAGTGAGTGAATGAATGAATAGCAATTCAGAAATATCAGCACGGAATAGGTTTTAAGTGGATATGATTATTCAGAATCTGGTTTTTTATGAAATATTATAGTAGTAAGCAATGTTGCTTGTGTTGTGATGACATCTGAATATTCAAGAAAAACAATAAAAATTAAAACTTAATCAATTGACAAATGATTAAGAATGTCTCCGACTGCTTGCCCAAGGGAAAAGAGATGACTTATACTGTTTGATGGAATTCCAAATTCTGAAGACAGCCAGTATGAAACTGAACATCTGATGATAGCAGCATTGTACTGTCACGAAGCAAACCCTATTCCTTTTATAAATGAAGTTTGTCTCACAACACTGCTTTTGTCATTGTGATGCAAGGAGCTGTGGATGTAGACTCTGAGAAAGTTTCAATAAATGTGCCTCTAATGGTGAGTGAAACAAGGGCCTCTTCTCAATACCTTAATCGAAGTCCAGATGGCTCGTCATAATCAGTAAGCTTATGAAATGTTTCCCAGATGAGTCCAAAAAGGGGGCTTTGACGCATAGGAGGGCACAAATCTCCTTTTTGCAGATCTTTAAAGCAGTCGTGATATGAGGTAGTCAGTAAAAGAGGTCTATCTGTACCCTCTTCTGAACAAATCACACAAATCTGACAAACTTAGGAAAAAGGTGGAAATGTCTACTTTAGGGCTAAATCCAAGTATGGTATTGGGCCTGAAGTGATGTCATTATACTCAAATGCATCGGTGTACAGTATTTGATGACTCAATGTACCATACTTTTGAGGCTGAAAGATTGCAAAGCAAAGCTTGCCTGGTGGAATTACAGTTCAGCCAAATGAACCTAACTGGAAATAAATATAGACCGAGTTGATTAAATAACTAAATATCACTGACCAGATACACAATTAAGCCCATAAACGTTTAAATATGTGTAAATATAACACAAAAGTATGCAGAAATTACAACTCACCATTGCTATAACACTTGAACATCGAGGCCAGTTCCAGATGATGGAGTACATTTTCCACAGTAACCACCACATTTTCCTATTACTTTGGTACCATCCTATAGATAAAATGATAAATAAAATACATCAGAAAGGAGTAAATGCAATTCTTCATATCCTAAATCCGTTTTGAGCAATTTATAGAAAGAAAATGTATTAACAACCCTAACCCCAATTATATTAGGCAAAGGGAACATATTTCTGAGTGAAAATGCAGAGGGTTATAGAAGGAAAATGTATTTAGGTTAAAAAGAACATACTAGGAAATGAAGGAACTGATAGTAAAATAAAACTTTATCATAAAACAAAGAGGTCGTCACCCCAACTCTGTAAAATATTATGTTTTTAAAATAAAATTATACACACATAGCATTCTGTTTTTGTTCTGTTTTCTTTATTTCAGCTTCAAACACCTTTGGATATTTTTTTTTTTAAAAAAAAACAGAATTTCCCTCAGAAAGAGAGAAAAAATATAAAAGGTGAAACAAATGATACATGACACTTTCCAGTCCTACATGTTAAAACGTAGTCTACAAAACTTTGTTTGCTACTCTTGATCTCTGATACTGATCCCAACGTCTTGTTCACTTATTCTCCTGACACTGAAACTTAAGAGCTGTGCCTGACAGCTCTGAAGCAGGGAGAGGAGCCAATATTGATTGTCTTGAGTCTCTGCTTTCAGTTGGTCATTTGGGACTCCCTTTTGGAGTTCCTGCTGGACACTGATTTTTTTTTCAGCTGCTTCAGAGTAACTAGTGAAAATTCATTCCCCTTTGCACTGTCCCTTTTGAGACAGACATAATGCCTTTTATTTTCTACATGTCTTCGCTCCCTTTATTTGCAAGTAGCCACTGGTGGGATTCAAATATGTGAACAACCGGTTCTCTGTGTGGATGCTGTTTCCGGAAGTCCATTCTGGGCCTGGGCAACAAAAAATTAGCTACCGGTTCTGCCAAAGTGGTGTGAACTGGTTGAATCCCACCACTGCAAGTAGCCCAAGTAAGCCAACTGTTCTTCCACAGGAATTGTCCTGCTTATTGTGGCAAATTGTTGATCACGGGAAGAATGAAATTTGTGTAGATTCTCAAACTATGGGTTTCAGCTCTGGGGAAGGAGGGGGAGTGTCATGAGGAAACCTGAAAGGGATTGCACTTGTTTCTGTTCTGCCTGAATGCCTTTGCTGACCGGCTGGACTGGGCCATGTGTAGAATACAGACTATATGGTCTAGTGATGAAGGCACCAGGAGATGTTGAGTTCTAGAAACCAGGAGATGTTGAGTTCTACTCCCGATTTTGGCATGAAAGCCAGCTGTGTGACTTTGGGCCAGTCATTCTCTCTTAGCCCAACTCACCTCCCAGGATTGATGGAGGAGGAGGAAGAAGGTTTACTAGGTATGTTAGCCGGTTTGAGTTATTTATGCTTATTTATTGTTACTGTACGTTATATTCAGGTACATTCAGGAAATTACTATACAATTATTAGACATATAAATAAGTCACACAAAAACGGAACAGCCTAGGGCAGTGATGGCGAACCTTTTAGAGACTGAGTGCCCAAACTGCAACCCAAAACCCACTTATGCATCGTCAAGTGCCGGGTGGATGTGGCCCACTGGGTGGACGTGGCTGCGGTGGTAACGGCAGACTGGGTGGGCTAAAAAGTTCAATCAAACAATTTCAACTTTGCAAGATCTTTTTTTTCCCGCGAGAAGTTGAAATTGACTGATTGAACCTTTTTTTTTTTTTTGCACATGGCGGCGGAGGCCTAAAAAGAAAACGTTTTATAAAACCCAGCTGAAGGTCTAGGACTGGGGCGATGGCGCGCGTGCCCACAGAGAGGGCTCTGAGTGCCGCCTCTGGCACCCGTGCCATAGGTTCGCCACCACTGGCCTAGGGCATTATATATCTGGATTCATGGAGGGTGAGGGAACGTAGGGACTACAGAGCCTAGGAAAGAATTTGTCCTTTTCCTTGAGTTTCATAGCATTGTTAGAACAAGCACTGAGCTGCCTATTGTGGAGGACTCAAGACAATTAATTAAAGAAGTGTGTGCAATCATGAAGCTCAGTCTTTTTACTTTCACGGTTAAGCAGATCCACTAATTAATTGCAATAATACAGATCAAGTTGAATTTACTCCAATCTATGGTTTTAAATACACCAATTACTGTACATACCATGTGTTGCACTTCTTGGGCTTTAGTTTTGACTTCAAGAGGCTACTCTTTCACACACACACACGCACACTTTTTACTATTTATAAGAAGGAGCAGCAAGTTAACATATGCAACACTTTAATTCAAAGTAAGTTTTGCTTACAGGAGATCTTGTAATTTCAGAAACAGCATAATTTCCTTGTGAAAGCCACCTTGAGGCCTGCATTACTGACAGGCCAGTTCCAGAGAGGTTGATGCTAAAACGACCCTTTCAAAAAACAAAAAAGAACATATATGAGTTGGCACTGGCTTTCTGAAATGATGACTAAATACCCCAAATGCAGGCTCCTTTAAAAACAAAGACAAAGGAAAGAAAAAGAAAGAAAATCTATTTGTGAGCAACGTCGTTTTCTAATGCTTTGGATCCCCTGTGTAACAACAGACCACAGAGTCATTATTCTAACAAGATTTCCCTGGCACTGTTTTCAATTGTTCCAAGCCCTCGCAACGATTAGCACATACTGTACAAATCACAGCAGGAATGAGATTAAGCATTTATTCTCATTTGCAGAAGTTTGAGAACAAGGCTGTTTTGCTGTTGGCCTGCCAGTTGAGGGCATTCTTGTCCTTCAAGTCATCTTTAACACTGTTGCTCTTTAACTCTTCTGAGAAAGGAGAGAGAGAGAGAGAGACAGAGAGAGAGAGAGAGACAGAGAGAGAGAGACAGAGAGAGAGACAGAGAGAGACAGACAGACAGAGAGAGAGAGAGAGAGAGAGAAAATAACAGTTTCCTACATCTGGACAGCTATATATTCTTGCTCTTTTATCTAGATAGGACATTTGCCTGGTTCACTTGTCATGATTTTCTGTGGCCAAACTAAGGCTCCGCTATGTTCTGGCATACAAATGCTAAAGGAGCCTTAGTTTGGCCACATCATGACAATCAACCAAGCAGTCAACCAGGCAAATGTCCTATCTCAGAACAGGTTCTAGCTTTATAATTTAAAATGTGTATCGTAACACTTTCCTTCCTGATCAATTGAAAGTTGAAGAGGCGTCTTTTCTCACCCTCCCCCCACTTAATTTCCATGGAACAAATATTTATTTTTTTCTGCATGAATCACTGGTGTTTGTGTTGGCTAAAACAGAACTCAATGTATTTTATTTTTACTGTAATTTTATGCAATGCTCTTAAAGATAAAAGTAAAGGTTTCCCCTGTCCATAGAGTCCGATTCTAGGGGGGGGTGTTAATCTCTGAGCCAGTGTAGCCCGTATGTCAACGCCAAGGTGCATGAAACGCTGATACTTTTCCACCAAAGTGGTACCTATTTATCTACTTGAATTTGCACGCATTCAAACTGGTGGGTTGGCAAGAGCTGGGGCAAGTAATGGGAGCTCACCGCTTAAAATTTATATATCACCTTTATGACATAAATCCATCTAGAATAGCTTTTACATCTCAAGGATAACTTGTTCTCATACAAAACCATTCATTTCTCAGATCTTCAACAGGGCCTTGTCTTTAGTCCCCATCCTTGATGGGAAGCAGAGATTTCTCTTCATCTGCTGTGTCCCCCCCCCACCAGTTTGAGATTCTTCAGATACACATAAATTTGTAGCACCACTTATACATCGTTTTCAAAGAACAAGCAAATACTATTTTATTTCCATAGCTAAAAATTAGTTATTGATATGCGTTTTAATCTGATGATTTATACAGTTTTAAGAATTAGTTCTCATTTATTTTATGAGTCTCTTTAAGAATTCTTTTTGGATTAAACAGTCGATTACTTGCAAAGAAAACTGGCTTAAATGCAATTACATACAAGAAAAACATTAAAGAACGTTTGATCATCACAATATTTGGATTGTCATAAAAATCCCTCAATTCAGAAGTACAAACTCTTTTTACCAGTACATTTAAAAAACAAACAAACACCAGAATGTACAATATTTACGAAAGGAGATGTTAGACAAGGAATGACGGAATAAGGCAATGGTTGGCGTATGATTAATTTGATTGGGAATGCTGGAATGTAACTTGAGATTCAAGGCCTAGAGAGGGATACCTGTGGGCACTTGGCTGCACTATAGCAATCCCCAGCAGTGGCAAAAGGAACAGGTCTCCCATCAAGTGTCTGTGCAAACTGTAAATCGGTAGCTGTGAAAAAATATTTGGCAAGAACCACAGAGACAAAGGGGGAAGGGAATGGTTGGAAAAGAAAAAGAAAATGCAAATGTTTAATTTGGCTCTTGCATAAAATAAAACACTTAACTGTATACATTTATTTTCTGACTCATCAGCAACCCTCCCTGATTTTTCACACAGATAACTAAACGAGAAACTTGGCACAATGTTTAAACTTGTGTAGGGAGATATTAAAAAATGAGGAATAATTCTGTGAAAAACATTCACCACTGCAAGCATTGTAAAAATATGCAGAGGCACCAATCTTTTAACAATGCACTACAGGTTTCTCTCTTTATGTTTTCTAATATGTCTAAAATTGTAGGGACTGTTCTATAGCAGCAAGTTGCTCCTTCTATTTGTTTTAAACATCGGCATAAAAATGTGGATGTGGTCCTATAGACCATAAAAGAACTGCAACTTATTTGGCCTATTTCATATGCCTCTTTAGGAGCTATCATTAGGAGCTGTCTCTAGCTCAAGACAACGTCCAGCTAGAATACAAAAATCAGCTCCAATATTGTTGCTAAATTGTGCAATCTGATTGCTCTTGTATGCCCTCTCTGCTTTCTGATGGGACTTCAGCTGAAAGGGAATTCTGGTGAGAACCACCATCCCAATACTGTGAGAGTCTACTGTCAAGCTCCAGGGAAATCAGGAGATCCAGGCAGTTCAAATGGTTATTAGGATTTATTGCAAACTTAAGCTCTCTACAAGAATCTGAACTGCTAACGTTCAAAGCAATTTGGTGGTAGATAAGGAATTCAAGGTGGCCTGGACTTAGCTCTCTCGTGGGCTCGAAGGGACTCATGACTGATGACATCTTTGACTCCGCCCTCAGGCTCAACCTGGTCATCTCCTACACTAATTTCCCAATGAGAAATGGGATTACATTCAAGTAGAATTTCCATGACAATGCTTATGATTATAATTTTACATTTGAGCTTAGCTGAGGCAAGATAGGGAAAAGAACATTCATGGAGAACTAAGTTTAATGTGCAGCAAGGTAAAATTATGTCATTTTTAAACACCATAAGAGAAGATATGGTAATAATACAAGTTAAACTCAAGAAATGTAAGCTGGTCTCTTTTAAAATAGTAATTCCAACAATTCCAACAAAGAAAAACAAAATGAGAAACAAAATATTGTTGTTACTTACTTATTATCTGCATAGCATTCAGGTCCAGCCTTACTTTGCTGAAGGCTGAAAACCCAGCTGCTGTGTAATCTTTCCTACACTGGCAATTCTCTCTTCGGCTTCCATTATATGGACATTCAGTTGGGTTATGTAACCTGAATCAAAAGAAAGCCCCTTTTCTACTTACTGCAAAAAAATACACAAGGTAGCAAGACAAAATAAAAAAATACAGAATGCCTGCCTGTTTTTACCTGTAGCTGTAGACTTCTGAGAAATTTTCCGCATCACCATTTACCAAAGTGATGTATTCTTTAGGACTATCAGAGTCCATTCCAGCACAATATATCTGGGGGGAGAGGAGCCATAATTTTATAAAACAATTAAAGCTGATGCTGAATAAAAAAGGACAGAAATAAGAAGAGTGTGTAGAATTATGAATTTCTGAAAAATTGCACAATGTAAATGTAATTGAATCTCAAAGGGCCAGTTCCTCATTTTCCTTTCACATTGTTCTAACAATCTTTTCCCTCTCGAAATGAGAACTCAGATAGAAAGTTTTCTTCATAATAATACTTATTGCTTCTAACTCACTGAAAAACAAATGCCTATACTTCCAGCAAGAAAACAGAAACGTATAACAGGCAGAAGAATCTGTAGTCATTTGAACCTAAGTTCCCCCCCCCCGTCCTATAAACTGTATTCCCCCTCCAAAAACAGAGGAAGTGTTTGAATCAGACCTTTAAAAGTCTTCCTTTAACGTTCAGAAAATATTCGCCATCCTCAGTAATGACTTTGAGCCTTTTTGCTTCTTTGCAGCTTGTTGGTAGTTCACCTAAAAGAAGGAAAAGTAAGATGAGGTTCTAATCAACAAAAACGAAAGAGTCAAAGTGACGCAGTGTCAGTTTCTAACAGCTGATCAGTGAAACATTACTGTGAATATTTCAAGATATGTGAAATGTCTTCAGTTATTTAATTGAAGAGGAAGACCTTCAATGTGTATAATAATAATAATAATAATAATAATAATAATAATAATAATAATAATAATAATAATAATAATAATAATAATAATAATAATAATAATAATAATAATAAAGTTGGAAGGGACCTTGGAGGTCATCTAGTCCAACCCCCTGCTCAGGCAGGAAACCCTATAGCATTTCGGACAAATGGCTGTCCAGTCTCTTCTTAAAACCCTCCAGTGTTGGAGCATTCACTGCTTCTGGAGGCAGGTTGTTCCACTGGTTAATTGTTCTCACTGTCAGGAAGTTTCTCCTTAGTTCTAGGTTGCTTCTCTCCTTGATTAGTTTCCACCCGTTGCTTCTTGTCCTGTCTTGAGGCGCCTTGGAAAATAGCTTGACTCCCTCTTCTTTGTGGCAGCCCCTGAGATATAAGCAGGGAACCTCCCCCCCACACCAACACCTGCAGTGATGTTATAAAATTTGTAAGAGGTAAGATTTTCTTTTGAGATGACTCAGCATCAGACTTCCAATGTCAGCGCAACCTATGGCATTTTGCTCATATATCCATCCAAGGAATATGTTATCGCTGGTTGCTCTTCATTTGAAGTGATACCAGCCCTGTCTATCATCTCATAAAGAGTATGAAAATAAATCAGGTAAAGGTAGGTAGAAAAGGTGAATCACTTTTGACAGTTTTCTTGGACTATTATACTGGAAGATTATTATTGCTGCTCTTCGTTTGTTGGAAGAAAACCATTTTTTTAAAAAAAAATTAATATGTCATTTTTGTTGCAGTGCAGGATTTCACACCTCCCACTTCCCACCCCCAGTATCTAGGTGCCAGGAAATTTTATTTGTGCCTTACATCCATTCCCCTCCCTCTTTCCTTCTTTTTGCTTTCTTGATTGCACATACGATGGTCTCTCAAGGACTGAGCCCCATGCATTGTCATGAAATCAAGCATCTGTAACATTCCCTGCTATTTCTGTTGTTGCCTTCCTGGCTTAGGAAATGCTGCAGGGCATTTTCACAACATACCACTGAAGTAATGCCAAAGCTTCAGATCGCTTGAGGATTCTTCAAACCAGACTTCCCAAATTCTTAAGAGAGATTGTGTTAAGTGTGGAAGGGAGCTGTTTTTTTGTTTGTTTTGTTTTGTTTTTTAAAACCCCTCTAAAGCAGGGGTAGGCAACCTTGACAACTTTAAGCGGCATGGACTTCAACTCCCAGAATGATCCAGCCAGCAATGCTTAATTTAATTTAACTGAAAAAGTGTGGGACATGACATAGAAGTAGATCTGTACTAATACAAGCACGGGATTAAAAGGAAAAATAAAACTCGTTCCCAAAGACTCTTACAATTATGGATGTTGTGGCATGGCCTCCTTTCCTCAGGTTTTAAATCGTCAAGGCATGAGGTACTTGCTTGATCGCTGTTTGTGAGGCACTGAACTGACCGTTGCATTACCCCAATTCCACAAGTCACCGAACACTGAAAAGGAAGGAAACCAAATTCAGAACCTTGCCTGATACCTTATAACTTTCTAGTGAGTCATGGGGGGGAGAGAAAGAGAGAATGAAAAGGTAAAGTGGCTAACAAAACCAAAGCTTAATTAAAAGACTGAATTAAAAAAAGGGAAACGTTTGTGCATCTTTACCCTCTTGACTCTTCTGAATTCTACAAATGTTTTGTTGCATATCTGGCACAACTGTGTGAAAATTAAGATGCTCTTTAAAAACACAAAGATATTAGGAACTATGCACAGTGAGAACTACAAGCCTATTGAGGCTTAAGTAGCAGAACAATTTTTAAAAGTAGAAGGAACAGGGGAGGAAAGTTTTTCACACAGTATGCAGTTTTTACCCAGTGCTATAAACAGCAATTTGCCACATAACTAACTCTCTCTCAGTGCACACATACACAGATTTGCTTGCTGGCAGGCATATTATCACAGCTATTTATGACTGGATATAGCAATATACCATCTGAAAAAAAGGCCATGCTGAAGGAAAACCAATTAATTGTTCAAAATATCATTGATCTTTCTGCAATAAAACTCTTTGGTAAGGTGCAGATCAAAGATGGAACAATTAAGGAGAAGTAGCAGGATAAACTGCAGGATAAATTGCAGACTGCACCAGCTGTTTGCAGTTATTTAGATAAATTATTTTCAGAACAACAAACAAATGCAGACGGATACATATACAGTTACTGAGTAAACAAGTTTAAACGGAGGTACAAGGTAACACTTCCCATTTTTGGCACGAATTAGAAACCACACTGTCCCTAATTTAAGAGCACCTTAGAGGGTTTTGAGAACACATCTAAATAACCTTTGGGTGGGCAGGGGATTATCGATAACTGTGGAAGGGGTACATGGGTCCCAACATTGGGTGAGACAAAGATGCAAAATGGGTGGGACTGCACATGGCAAGAATAGAGTTTTTTGTTCTCTTTCCCAGGTATTCTGGAGACAAAAGGTTAGTGTTTTCAAAACCACGCTAAACCGCTTTAAGATTTACATTGCGGCTTTTGTGTTTCCAGCCTCAAAAACAGACAAAAAAAAAAGATTTTTCTGAATGTTCTCTAATAGAACTTCCTTGCTCTAAACAAGAGGCCCCCAACCTTTTGAGCATCAGGGACCGGTTCTGAGGAGAGAGGGTTTTTTGCGGACCGGAGGGGGCGTGGTTTAATGTACTGCCTGCATCCGGCGGATGGGGCTTTGCTTGTTTGTGCGGACCAGTTGCTGGCATACCGTGGCCCGGTACTCTAAACCACTCTTCTCTAACTAGGGCAGTAATAACTATTGAAAAGAAATATAAGCAACACTTCACTATAACTGACTATTCCAGTTGTTTACTATGAAGGACTAATTTCTCTTTTAGCAAAGATCTACAACTACAACAAGCTTTGTACCGTAAAATGCATGAAGCCAAGTGAAGCCAAGCCATCTGACAAATATGAAAGTTATTCGAAGAGCTGTCAGAAAGGCTCTTTTCTAAAGTTCAAATGGATTGGATTTTATTTCTGTATCCAAGCAATACAAACAATTGTTCACAGCAAGAGGAGAGCCTTCTGAACTCCAAACAAATGCCAGACTTTTCAGTTGTGTAGGAATGGTGTTAAAAGGAGAGAAAGATCTGTATGTGACCTTGTAAGTGGAATTTGAGTTTTTCAGTAGCAAAGTTCCGTTATCTCCTAGCAACACAGGACCACACAATCTGACCACCTTGGTTTGAGCATGCTTGGGTCAACACTTACTTATTTAGTGTTGGCCTGCCTAGCTTTCTTTCTTCATTTACTCAACCGCCTAGAATTTGTATTGCTTTTCCTTATGCATGAGGAGAAACAATGACTGGTAGTGAGAACGTAACCTAGGTAAGGAAAAATGAATCTCTTTGAAGCCGGATCTGAATCTGGAACAATTTTTCTATTCTTCCTCGCTGCTTTCTGTTAATGTTAACTGGTAGGCTGATCATTGTACTTTATTTTTATTTTTTTTTGCCATGAACCAAACAGGCACTTCTCTAAGCCATCAACATTTATATAAACTGAGATATAATTATTTAGATATCCCTTTTATACACATAAAAACTGTAAGTTCTGGCCATTCACTGTAGGTAGGGAGAATTAAATCAGGGTAGGCAACCTTTGAAGGGTGAGAAGGTGTACTTGACACAGGCCATTTTTCAAAACATAAATGGGGCCATGAAAATGATGTAAATGGGACCAAACCCAGGAATGAAAATTCATTAAATACAATTAATCCATTTGTATTTAATAAGTGTTCTCTTTAGCATGTTAAATGTACAACTCAGTAGCAACTCTGCATGAAACAGGTACGTAGGTGAGATCATCCATTGGCAGAGAGTGAGGCATAATTAGTAGGCTGGTGGTGCTCAGTTGTACATTTCTATTCTGGGTCACTCTGCTATGTGGAGGCTGGATGGGAAAGATTCAGGTTTTGTCTTAATCCTAACAAGACCAAATGGTTGTGGGTTTTAGCAGTGCTTTTTTTCTAAAAAAAAAAAAAAAAAGGTGCCAGAACTCACACATGTCATACAACCTGCCTTCCCTACCCTACAAGGTTCCATCCAAAAAAGGTGCCGGAACTCCGTTCTGGGCGTTTTATGAGAAAAAAAGCCCTGGGTTTTAGGGCCCCCAGAATCTGGAGATTTTCCACCTTTGACTCTGGTTAGGGTGGCAGACAGAGATGTACACAATTTGCAAGTCCTCTTGGACTTGCAGCTCTCGACTGACAAGATGGCCATGAGGGTTTTTGCTCAAATCCTTTTTGTGCACAACCTGTGGCCATTCTTGCCTGGAAAGGCTATGCTCATGGTCACTCATGTTTTGTTCATCTTCCAGTTGGACTGGTGCAATGTGCTCTGCATGGATCCCTACATTCAGTAGTGTGCCCCAGTACATGCGGTTTGGGACATAACCCAGTTCACCCATGTAGCAACACTGCTTTTCAAACTGTGCTGGCTCAGAGTAAGCTTTGGGGTGTAATTTAAAGTGCTGTAAAGCCCTATATGTCATAGTGCCAGGTTGTTTGCAGTACTGCCTGTATTCAAGTATTTGTGCTCATTCCATATAATGTGGCAGGTTAGGCATACTCTGGGTCCTTCTGCCATCTAGCAGGAACCAGGAGACATTCCTTCTCTATCGTGGCACCTATGGAAAAATATTCCCCCCAGACAATTGGATTAACTAACCCTGTTAGCCCTTTGTAGGGCTTCAAAGATCTGGGTTTCCTGCAAACATTGAGCCAAGGATGTCTGCTTAGCTTGATACATAACATTATTTTAATTTCAGATAGCTTACTAGAAGCCCTGGTCATACTATACTATTTATGTATATTTAACTATTATATTTTTCTGTTACAGATATTTAAATAACCTTTTCTAAAAGCTTTTATGCTATGTTGTGATGCCTTTTTAGCCAAAATCCAAAATCACTACATTGAGAAGGGCAGTCGTATAAATAAGCCAATAAATAGGAATAAATTAGTAAATAAGAAGAGTCTTTGGCATGTGGCCCATGGCTCTTGGGCATGAGTTTGTACAGCCATGCAACAGACAAAAGATAAAGAATAATTAAGTCATGAAGTAACACACAGTAATCCATGAAAGAGAGGAAAGAGGGCATCTTGTTTTTTAAAAGTCATTTGGGCTATGTAGCAAAACAAATCATGAATAATAACAAAACAAAAGTTTAGAAACATACACTTCCCCAATTTCCAACTCTCCACGATGCCAAAACAGGGCACTCGCCTAGATAGCATGACTGCACATTTAGTGGTGGCGTGCCTGGACAATGGACAGTGTTCTGATAACCATACTCGTAGTGATCTTTCCCTGTATATATTTCACTGCAGGAAACCAGCCTTTGCTTGTAGCCTTTACCACAGGTCACAGAGCACTGAAAAATACAAAGCAAAAAAAAAAATATGTATCACTCAAAGTAAGCTTTTGACAAAGTAGAAAATTAGCCTGTGAAGTTTCATGAATCAAGTGTGAATTGCTACTTCTTCCAGCTTGGGTACTTTCTAGAGGTTTTGGCCTAAATTCCATCAGTATATTCCTTTGTTGGTCCTGAAGGTTGGCTCCTCAGCTGGCAGGTTCACTGACTTGCTTATCTTCTGGGGAAGGTAAACTTCCTAGGTCGGTCCAGTTTTGAGTGAGGACTGATTTATTAAGGTGTCACCTTGGAAGCAAGAAACTTGGTAATCAACTTGGGATCATGGATATCCTTGGTACTTTCCCATAATTTTTCTTTAGGGCCACATCCTTGCCAGAAAATGAGGCAATCCACAAGAGATAGGTGACAACACAGGATGAATACTTTACTTTGTAATTCATCCTGTCTGTCACACTAACAGTAGTGGTCATGGCAGAATTGAAAAATTTGTATGGCCAGGAAGGTAAAGTACCAGAAAACAGAAGAACAGAAGATGAACGTGAAGTGAAAGAAGAAGCTGGAGAAGCTAAAGATGATAGACTATTTCAATCCTGCCTTTTAATCCTTTGAGTACGCGTTTCAATTGCTCTGCCAAATAGGGTGGGTGGGAACATTGAAGGAAAATAGCCACGGTATTTTTTTTAATTTTATGAAAACAGGGCTGAATATTCTGAAAGTCCTGCTGTTTGTATGATTGATATTGCTTCCTGAAAACAGGAAGGCATTCTGTATCCCTTTTACTGTCTACTTGCTCCAAAGCCCATATATAATTTGTGAACACCTACTCTGGTGACTTTGTTCAAAGGAACGGATACAATATTTATATTTTATCTTTTTTTTGGTCAGTTTTGACTGACATGTTCTCCCCTAACTGTGAACTTTATTTTTTTTGCTTTCTGAGGAAGCTAGAAACACTTTTGCTAAGGAAGACATAGAAATCCATGCTAAAAATGTTACTGAATTTCCTGCAAATGTACAATTTTGCTGCTAGATTTTGGAACAGAACCTCAATTAGGCAATCAGGTTTTCAAGCCGAATATAATTTTTTGACAGGGCCTAGACTTCTGCTTCCTAATTAGATAGATAATTTCATTGCCCCCTTCTTTCACTCAATAACAGATAACTGCTGCCCACATTCAATCTTTCCCAATATCATTCAGGTGTATTGAAACTACAAATCCAAGAATTCTGGATATAGTGATTCCAACACAACTTGGAGACACAAGATTGGAGAAAAAGTGACTTAAAATCTAGCTGTAATTTGTAAATCTGATTCTGATTCTATTTAATTTATTCTGGCTAGCAATCTTGAAAAATATAATACACCAGGAACTTTACAGATGATACTGTGTCAGAAAACTTTATGTCACTTTCTCAACACATAGGTAAAATACCAAAATAAATTAGCCATGTTCTTTTAAGGTTAAGATCTTCAACTTCTCTAAAGTATTCTTTTTTCTACATGCAATATCAGCATCACATTTAGGGAAAACCTTTCAAATGAAATGTGTTCTATGTGAGACTCTACTCAGGGGGCCCAATTTTTTTTATTACTACTGCCCATTCCAGACAGTCATGAAACTTCAATAGCACTTAGATTTATATACTGCTTCACAGTGCTTTACAGCCCTCTCTAAGCGGTTTACAGAGTCAGTGTATTGCCCCCAACAATCTGGGTCCTCATTTTACCGACCTCAGAAGGATGGAAGGCTGAGTCAACCTTGAGCCGGTGAGAATCGAACTGCCAAACTACTGGGCAGCAGTCAGTCAGCAGAAGTAGCCTGCAGTACCGCATTTAACCACTGTACCACCATGGCTCTATTTCAGATGAATGCTGGTAGATGACATTTGACTGAGGTAGCAAAAAACTCCAGGTACTGGCACCTGGACCTTCCTGTAAGAATTAGCTTTGATGCCTGTCTAACAATTGCCATCTTTTGATGGCAGCAGCCCTATCTTTACTTTGCTGCAAGCATTAAAACTCTTCAGCTTTTATTTGATTAAATATAATTTTTGAGCTTCATTAGAATGAACAGTGTTCGTATAGATGCTCCACAGTTACAGAACCTTTTTCTATTAAGAGGTAAGAATACATTGCCAAGTCTCTTCCCACTGCCCTTGCTTTTGGTAACCCAACAAATCAGTCAGTGAAGAACCAATGGATGAGTATTACAAGAAAATGTCAAAGCTAGCTGGTTTGCGTATTTTATCTTGCCATTCTCTATAGCTGTCACTGATTATAGTTTAACAACTAAGCTTTGCCCAGAGTTAAGACACATACCTCTGACCAGTCTCCTGTAATCCAAATGTATTCACATGGGGGTAACGTGCAAATCTCAACATCAGATGGCCTCTTGCTTGGATCACAGTGAAGACTATCAACGTCTTGCATATTTTGGTCCACACAGATAACTTTCCGGTATCTAGACCCCTTGCCGCAGGTTTTGCTACACTGTCAACATAAAGGAATAAAGAGAGCAGTTGGTAGACAGCATATGACACCAGGCTAGTTAGATGATAAAAGAAGAAGAAGAAGAAGAAGAAGAAGAAGAAGAAGAAGAAGAAGAAGAAGAAGAAGAAGAAGAAGAAGAAGAAGAAGAAGAAGAAGAAGAAGAAGAAGAAGAAGAAGAAGAAGAAGAAGAAGAAGAAAAATAATAATAATAATAATAATAATAATAATAATAATAATAATAATAATAATAATAATAATAATAATAATAATAATAATAATAATAATAATAATAATAATAATAATAATAATAATATAAGAAATTTGGTCAGAGATGCACAATTTCTCTTGGCTTGATGGCTGCTCCAGACTTTACATGGCATGTTGAACACTTTATTGAAAATATAGGCAGGGCTAAGATCTGTTCTAAGAAGGGAGTAGTAGGTTTTTAAGAGGTGAAACGAATGTCCTAAACATATACACGGCTTATAGCATCTATTTTGACCTTTAAAACCCCCCAAATGCAAAAAAAAAAAAAAGCAAAAAGTTTGACATTGTCAATACCTGTCAGGCTCCAAAACTAAGAAAGACATGCTGTGGTTCTTCTAAGTAGTTTCCTTTATTGTTTCTCGCCTACAAATCAAAATCTTACCAAACTAAAAAAGACTAAACACCATTAAACATACTCTGAGAACTACTAGGGAGGAACCGTCTTAACTCTCTCCCACGTAAACTACCTTAACCTTACTGTCTTTTGCTTCTCTGGAATATACTGCCTCCCTCCCTTCTGGGAATCAGGACTACATTCCACCACAGTACCATGGAAGAGATTCTTCTAATTGCAAAGGGATACTGATGGCCTGCATGTATTCCCTATGACTTTCATCCCTTTTAGTAATTTTTAAACATCATTTTCAATTATTAGATAAGTGATGGAACTGATCCAATAGCTTGAAATGATCAATATCAACTTCCCTAAATAAGACTCTTGGAGTAAATCCTAAATTTAAAGCATGTGTCATCTCTAAATAAAAACACACCTATTCCATCACCATTAAATTATATATCTCAACAGGAAGCAGCACCTGGCTGAGCGTGCTCAGCCTTAAAACTAACCAGGGTTATGCCTGGTTAGGATGTGCAGACCATCAAGGAAAACACACTACCAAAAAAACTTGCATGGTTTTATCCATACAGAACAAAGAAACTCAGCTACTGTTCATAGCTAATCTAACTCTACTTTATAATAAATATTTCTAGGCAGAAAATAAAATTTGGGGATAGGAAAAGTAAGAGACAGCCTGAAGCAGCTACCCAAAAGATAAATATTGCTATATTATGTTATATGGTATGCACATAGCTTGCAAATATGGAAGAACGGTAACATACTTCTGCTGCAATTTTATTTTATTTACAAAATGTCACGGCAATTTAGAATTAAAACACAGTACAATCTAAAGTGTACTAACACAAATGAAATTCATTAATGCAAAACAAATCAAACATTATCCACAGCTTCAAAAAGGTAACACTTGAAATATTGTGCAATATTTATGATTGTTTCCCTAAAATACCAAGGAATTATTTAAATGGGCCCAATAAACCCACCTACACCATAACCACGTTTAACCATTCTAAATAGGCGAAATTACTTCAACCCACTTAGCCTCTCTAGAATTTTCCAATCCTCATTAAATATGGAATAATTTCATAGTGTGTAATTATTACTGTGGAATGACTGCAGCTGTACAGCCCACTCTTAACTATGTATTATGTATATTAAATGAACACCAGTACTAGATTTGTAAGTGCTTTCTTTAGGGATTACTGAAAATAGATAGCAAATGGCAATTTGCTTAACTGGAAGCAAAATGAAAGCACATCAAAGAATTTTTCTTCCTTGACTTCAATAGTTCCTTTCACATTAGCTCACAAAATAGCGACTTGTATAGTATAGCTCAGGGGTAGGCAACCTCGGCTCTTTTATGACTCATGGATTTCAATTCCCAGAATTCCTGAATCAGCTATGCTATGCTGACTCAGGAATTCTGGGAGTTGAAGTCCATGAGTCATAAAAGAGCCGAGGTTGCCCACCCCATAGCTATTTACTGTATATGTACTTTACAATATAACTATCTATTATCACTTATTTGGTCTTTTCACCCTATCTACATATCTATAGGAAATACAACAACTCCCTGAAACATGACTGAAACCGAACAAACATTCTGTAGGGGACTCTTCTGAAGATATAAATGGGGCACATAGTCAATAACAAGGGATACTCATCTGTTCACAGACTTGAATAAGTTAGCACTTGGCGTGGCAGCAAATTTTATGGCCCCCACATCCTGAAGGGCCATAAATTGTGATTGTGATTCCTGGGTCTGAAATTCCAGTTTTCTGGTACAGATTCTTTTCCATTCATGGCCTTTCCATCTATTTAACTCTTCTAAATCTAGTTTAAAATACACCTGAGGATGACCTGAGCTGCTTGACTATTCCTGGTTCTATGAATATATCATGGATATATGCTATAAGTCTAAAACTGGCAAAGAGACCCAATCTAATTAACTCTTTCTGGCTAATACTTGAGCACCAAAACCTCTCAGTCAATCAATATTTGCTTGCTGGCCAGCAACTGAGAACCTAAGCAGGGATCTCTTTTCCCTTTTCACAAGCACAGAACAATAAAAAAATGCTATTCATTCCCCATGGTGGTATGCTAGGGACTTCCAAACATCTAATGCTGGAACATTGGCAAGTCTGCCTTTGGGTTTCTTTACTAAAGATATTAGTAGGTGACAGACCTCCTCCCCCCGAGTTGGAGGCAGGGTAACCCAAAGTCCCTCTCAAATGAAAACACAAGGAAGTTGTCCTTTCGGCAGCAATATTTACTGATAACGTGGCATTTTCACACCCATGGATTCGGTATCCCTGTAACAGTGATATATTAAAATTGCTCAAAATGGTTACAGGATTATGCAATTGATGAGGGATTCATCCTTCCTCAATAACAGGAGAGTGCCTTGCTCCCCAAGACTAAATCAAGGTTCTGGGTAAAATTCTGCAGTTGCTGCCACCTTAATTTCAGATGGCCTTTAGAGTCGACCAGGAAGGCAGTTTAAAAGGGCAGTAGGTTCACTCAAACACAGCTTAGGTGGGGATGATGGGAATGGTTATTCACACATATCAGAGCCTTGAATATATGTGGTGCTGGCTGCTGTTGTATTCCACCAAAATTCCTGAATTTGAGCACTTGATCAAAAGTCAGGTACATCATTACCTCAGGAAATGTGACATACAGTATTCTTCCCACCTTCTTAAGGGCACTTAAGATCTCAGTGGAGGTTAAGACAATTTTCTGGAAATCCAATATTCCCAAATTCTTCTCTGATGAAGTTGAGGGACACCTATTTAGATCATTTAAAAGGGTGGTGGTGGACAAATTTATATAGGATTTGACTATAAATGGCTACTAGCCTTAATGTCAGTTTGCTAACTGTGGAAATCATAGGCAGAATACTTTAAGGAACAACAGAGGACAATGGTTATGATTGAACTTCCTGAATGCAGCCAGTTAGAGAATGCTAAGCTAGATGGACTCTATTATGTTCTTCCATGGGAAAAAAAATCTCCTTCCTGCTATCTTTCCTTTGATTTACAGTTTTGCTGGCTTCCTCTTCATTGGTAATCCGTAACTTGTGTTTACTTTGGACATTTCCTAAATCCCTTGGCTCAAAGTTTCAATTTTATTTTGGAAACAGCAACCTAGCTCAGAGCATAAGAAACTGTTAAGCACATTAGGTAAACTGAAGGGGAGGTAATCAATTATATGTGTTATTTGCCAATTAAGTTAAGAACGGAAATGTGCTCCTACTGACTATGTGCTTCTGTGGGTGCTATTGTCAGAGACATGCAATATTTGATAATACCTACATGACTGTGAAAGTACACCCAACAAAAATGGCTAGTCAGAAGTCTGGTAGAAAAATATAGTCTGATACTGGAGAGTTGCTATCTCTTAATATATCATGAAACTGAAATAGCTCCGAACACCATTTGTATCCACAGCAATCATCTTTAGCAGCTTATCCTTTCTTAAACAAAACAAAGGACAATTATTTTATACTAACAAGGTTACTTTTTTACTGCTCAGTAGAAACTCATTATTATTTTACGTTGAGCCATTTTAAGGTTAGAGCTTTGTTATCTTGGCTTGAATTCTTAGAGTGCCACAGAATATGAGCAATATTTGTCTCTTTTTTACTCATTTCCTTGTCTCATTTCTCTCAAACCGATTTAGCACAGGATTAATTCAGCATCTATTTGTCTCCTGGACTGTTCTTTGTCATTTTTCGCCTAGCACTAACATTATTCCTGTTTTCAGGCCCAGAATTCGTGACTTAAATACTCATCTTCTGTGCCTATTTAAGTCATTGCCTTGCATAACCAGAGAAAATGCTTTGAAACAGCAATGGAATCCAAGCTTGGTTCTGTAAATGTTTGGTTTTTAGTTGCCAGTTCCTTTAATACTCTATTTGGGCATATGAGGGAAGACCACACCCCTTGTGAATGTCTGCTCTTGAATCTGAATAACTGGACTGTTTTTTTCCCCCCCTGCTGCTTGCTGGTTCATTTAGAAATAGTTATTCCTCAAATCGGTGGAACTACTGTACAAAATCTACTGTTCACTTTGTACAGGCATGTCAATAGAAGATGCCTAGCAATAGCTGATGCTGTTGGTTTGCTTCCAATTTCTGCACATTGCTGTGAAACTATCAAAGACCACATTATATAATTTAGAGAAGAGGAAAGAGTGACATCATATGTCACGGCAATGGATTTATTGATGAACTTCACTTGCATTGCTTGCCTTCACAAATTTTTAATATACTGTATTAAAATCACTATAGTGTCAAGATCTGTCCTACATTTGAAAATATGATTTGGACTTTCTGAATTATCTACAAAAATTACTTCATACCAGGCTTTCCAGATAT